TCTTTGAAGGCCCAGAGTTTGGTCCCAAGCCTGGCTCTGCCCCTAACTAGTTTTGTGGCCTTGTCTGCACTTGTGTCTTCTTTGACTGCCTCTCACTACTCTTGTGTATAAAAATATATGGCTGGCAGAACCAGATTTTTTTCCCTGATAAAGTTATTGGAAGGAACAAGTGAAAAATATCTATAAAAGCACTTCAATTTATATAAGCCTTTGCCAGTGTAAGGCCATATCATTGTTAATATCATCACCCATTTTCAAAGTACACAGATAGGAGCCTATGGCATCAGAATTCTGTGAACATTAAGGTATTGGGCCAACTTGTATTTGCATGATAATTGGTACCATGGGGCAGCATGCATGCCAGATATTTTTAGCCAGAAGTAGACACAGGGACTTGTGGCTTACTGTGATTTGATAAGTTTTTGAATGAAAGAACTTGGCCTGGGTCTTCTGGAAGCAAGTATGATTTCATTAGGTAGATGATAGGAGCAGACATTTGTTTTAGGAGCGTCCCTTGTGGCAATGAAGAGGCTGAACTGGGAGGGGAGAGACTGAAGGTGGGGAGGCATTATCATAATCCAGGCAGGACTCAGAAGCTTGGTTATGAGATAAGGTCAAAAGTTGGACAGATTAGGCTTCAGTTCTGGCTCCTACTTGTTTCCTTAACACTCTGTGTCTTGGTTTTATGTCTCTGTGAGTAGGACTATTGTGTGGATGAAAAATTGCTATCCAGGTAAAGCTCTTAGAGCAGGTATACATTCAGATGTTAGATACCATTTATGTGAGTTTTTTCTTTTGTGTGTGTGAGTGTGTACATAAAACAAAATTTGCCATTTTAGCAAATTTTAGTGTTTAGTCAGTGGGACTGATTACATTTACAATGTTGCACAACTCTCACCACTAATTCCAAAACTTTTTCATCACTCCAGGCATATACCCTGTAAACATTAAACACAAACTCCCCATTCCCCTCCCACCACTTCTAGGTAATCTCTAATCTACTTTCTGTCTGTATGAATTTTCCTATTCTAGATCTAGATATTTCATGTAAGTGGAATTATGTATAATATTTGTGCATTTGTGTCTGGTTTACTTCACATGTTTTCTAGGCTCATCCAAGTTGTGGCATGTATCAGAACTTTATTTCTTTTGAGGTTGAATAATATTCCATTGTATAGATATACCACATCTTGGTTACCTGTTCATGGACACATGGCTCATCTTTTCAATGTTGTGAATAGTGCTATAGTAAACATAGGCATAACAAGCATCTATCTGAATTCCTGCTTTCAATTCTTTTGAGAACCTCCCTAGGACTAGAATTGCAGGTCATATGGTAGTTCTATGTTTAACTTTTTGAGGAACTGTATACTGTTTTCCATAGGGCCTGTACTGTTTTACATTCCCCGCAGCATTGTATAAGGGTTCTGTTTTCTCCACATCCTCATCAATATTTTCCATTTTTAAAAATTCTAGCTGTCCTATTGGGTTTGAAGGTATATCTCATTATGTGTTCCAATACCTTTATTTTGTTTATTTAGTTTTTTATTTCATTGTGTTTCAGTACCTTCATTTTGTTTATTTAGTTTTTTTATCTCATTGTGTGTTTCAGTACCTTTATTTTGTTTATTTAGTTTTTTTTTTTTTTTTTAATGTGGTTCTGGGGATGGAACCCAGCGCCTCACGCATGCAGGCCAGCATTCTACTACTGAGCCACAACCTCGCCCTTATTGTGGTTTTGATTTTCATTTCTCTAATGACTAATGATGTTGAACAACTTGTTATGTGCTTGTTGGCCATTTGTATATTTTCTTTGGAGAAATGTTTATTTAAGTCTCTTGCTTGGTAGTTATATTTTTAAGGCCATAGAGGAAGAATAGAGAGAAATAGAGATTAAGGAAGTAGATAAAGCCAGACTGGGTGACTGATTTTATAGGGGGGTTAAGCTGACTTTTCCAGCCTGGTAAATTGGTGGATGATAGGGTGTTAAACAACACCAACATTTTTTTTTTTTTCTAAAGAGAGAGTTAGAGAGGAGGGAGAGAGAGAAAGAGAGAGAGACAGGGAGAGAATTTTTTAATATTTATTTTTTAGTTCTCGGCGGACACAACATCGTTGTTTGTATGTGGTGCTGAGGATCAAACCCGGGTCGCACGCATGCCAGGCGAGCGCGCTACCGCTTGAGCCACATCCCCAGCCCTAGGGTGTTAAACAAGAAGGGGTAGTTGGAGAAAGGTGTTGTCTTTGGGTGGAATGACATTGAGTCCAGGTGTCTGAGGGAGGAGCCTGCACCGTTCACTACCGCATCCATATACTTGATTGGTTTTTCTTAAAAAGAAAAATGTGAGGGAGGGGGGTTGGAGTTGGAGTTGGAGCTCAGTGGTAGAGTGCTTGCCTAGCATGTGTGAGACACTGGGTTCGATTCTCAGCACCGCACATAAATAAATAAAATAAAGGTCTGTTAATACCTAAAAAAAAAAAAAAATTCAAAAAAAGAGAAAAATGTGGGACATATTTTAAGTTTTGTCTCCTCCCTCCTTCTATCCAAGAAGCAACTTAAGAAATTCAGGTTCTGGGGCTGCAGCTCAGTGGGCTGAGGTTGTATGTAGCTCGGTGGTAGAGCACTTGCCAGGCATGTGTGAGGCACTGGGTTTGATCCTCAGTACTGCATTAAAGAAAAAAAAAAAGTATCGTGCCCATCTACAACTAAAAACAATATTAAAAAAAAAAACACAAAGAAATTCACTTAGCGTTGGGCCTCTGTTTGACAGATGTAAATAATCACTGGGAAAATGAAGGAATCTGTGGTTTATGGGCCAGCCTTCTGCTGCTGGAGCTCAGCCCTACCTGCTCTTGATTGGATCAGTTCTTCCCAGCCAGCTGCTCATGGTATACTGCGTTGACACCCTGGACAATGAGCATTCCTGAGAATCATGGCTTTTGGGGCTTTATCTAGTCGCTCTCCCAGTCTTACAACCTCTGCCCTTCCTCACCTTTCCCCAGCTTTGTGCCATTAGTTAAGTAAGCACTGAGCGTGTCACCCTGACCCACTGAATTTCTTGGAATCACCACTTGACAAAATTGTCTGTTGTGTTACTGATATCACATTGCATCAAGGTGGGGAAATTTGTGTGCACACAGTCATAGGCCACATTGTGATGGAGAGTGAGATTTGAGCAACTGTTTTTCCCCCAAAGAAGTTCTAGAGCCATAGCTGACCAGCAGCCATCATGTGGCCCAGGTGGGCAATGTTTGCTGATTGTCCCCTGATACCATCTGCCTGTGAGGCTGCAGGAACCCCCAGCAACCACTGTTCTAGCAGGTGCTGGAGGCTGCTGATGTGGGTGTCCGTGTATATACATACATGAGCATACAGCTTTGTTCAGTATGCAGAGATACCAGTGGAGGCCTAGGACAGAGCCCTGCCTACTTAGGGCTCTGGATGCAAGCTGAAGCTCTCAACCCACAAAACACCACCAGCCTCACTTGCTGGTTTCCGGTGGGGCCCTGGGGAGACAGGAAGAGAGGGTGAGGCTGTTGTGAAAAGCTAGCAGTTGGGGAATTGGATATGGTAACTAACTCACTTCCTAGTGTGTAGGAAGCCTAGTGGCAATGTTTTGATAAGCAGTTGTTTTCTTTCTACTTCTCTCCTCTGCTCAGGCCTAATCATGGCCCCTTATATAATTCATGATTTTCTTGCTCATTCCATGGAGAGAACCCTTACCCAGTTCTTAACCCTGCTCTTTCTAAAGCACACATCCCTTATCTGTGAATCCTTCCTGCCATTCAGTCAGGCTAGCTCCTAAGTTTTCATGCTTTCCCCCTAAGTTAGTGTGATCATGGGTTCAGACAAGCCCTTTGGGAAAAATTCCTGTGAATAGACTTGCACTTTGTGAGTTACCATGATTTTGGGTTATGAATGCTTTGTTGCAGAATTATGTAAGTTATTAAAGTAATTTGAAATAAAGATGATTGAGTATCCCTTATCAACTCGTTTGGGGTTAGCAGTGTTTTGAATTTAGGATCTAAATTTTTTTGGAATATTTGCATTTATGTAATGCCATATCTTGGTGATGCACCAAAGTCTAAGCACAGAATTCATATACACATAACTTAAAGGTAATTTTATGCAGTGTTTTTAGTGCTCCTGCATTTTGAGTATGACCCATCATTGGAAGTCAGGTGTAGAATTTTCACTTGTGATTGTCATGTTTACTCAAGTTTTAGAATGGAGCAATTTGGATTTGGGATTTTTGGATTAGAGATGCTCAACCGATAATTATATCAGCCACCAGATTTTAAAAATGCAGATCTTAATGAAACTTTGATAAGCATCCACCGAGACTGGGCAAACTTCTTCTCTAAAACGTCAGATATGTTCGATTTTGGTCTCTGTTGCAACTACTCAACTCTGCCATTATTGCACTAAACTAGCCGTACAAAATATGCATGAATGTGGTCGTGTTCCAGTGAAATTTTATTTACAAAATAGGGTGGTGGGCTGCTGAACCTTGGCTGAGAATGATAGTCCTTATTTTAGTCTGTTATCCTTATTTTTGTCTTTGTCAGAAGCTGAAAAGCCAGAGGAACTTGATGGCTGTAAACGAATTTAAATAATCTTTTGGGTTTAGTATAATTGTGAGCACAATGGTGATTTGGGAATACAGTTCTCTAAGCCCTGGTTGAGAAGAATAGAAATCAGAAAGCTTTTAAAGGGGTGAATCTGTTTATCCAAAACTTATCATGTTCAGTAAGTAGAACAAACTGTCATTTAAAGCTCTTTAGTGGCTTTTATGTATCAGTCATTCTCTTGATGGTCACATGAAATGACCACATGGAATGGTCACCTCACCATGCCGAGCATTATTCCACTTAATAGGATTAGGTCTGATTTGGCATTACTATAGTTCAGTTTCCAGAAAGATGAAGCTTAATACAGTCAAAGAGGCACCCTAAAATTTCAAACTACAATCTTGTTTTCTCCTCATCTATCCTCACAGGAAATAAAGAAAGATATGAAGAAAGACCCTCTCTCCAACAAAGCTCCGGAAAAGCCCATGCACGATGTGTCCAGTGGAAACTCTTTGCTGTCTTCTGAAACAATTTTAAGAACCAATAAGCGAGGTATGGTAAAGGAGAAAGAGCCCCCTTCCCTGTGCACAAACAAAACCTGGAGACTTCTGGGTGAACTGTGTCAAATTTTGCATTGCTGAAAAATTGAACTTTTTCCCTTTTGGTTTTAGGTATAAATCTTGGACACTCATATATGGGTAGTAACTAGTAGCTATAATAAAGGCAACTAATACAAATGCTTTTTTGACAGTCGGGAAGTTGACAGAATTTGTAAATGATGATTGTTTTTTTCCTTAGGGTTTTAGCTTCTGCTTTCACATCTATTTTTATGGATGCAAGGCGAATTTAGAGAATGGTAATGTGCAGGCTGAGCTGTGTGTGTCTTGACAATGCTCTTCTTTTAATTTAAGGCAAATGATATCAGGGTCTTTCTCTAACTGCTGAGCTCCCAAACACCTGGTCTGCCTCTCTGGGATTATGAGGCAGAATGTATGAAGATATGGCTAATATATCCATTTACACAGAAACCTTTAACAATCTTGTTAACTTTAAGTATCAGCTTGTTGTTTTCTCCCACATCTTCCCCTGGTAATAAGTGTTTGAAACAATGCAAGAGAGACTATAAGACTGCAGAAATGGCCCTACTCAATTCTGTACTGTGGACACACTAGATTTTCTCCCATGTTTCCTGACCTTGGACCAGCCAGTGCATACACAGATTGGAGCTGAGCTCAGTGTGCCCATAGTAGGTCCGCATTCAGCTGCCAACTTTTCCCAGGCTTATTACTTCCTTAAAGGGAAACAGAGAGCTGTTCAATAGCAGGAGCAGGAAATGTACTAGCAAAGGGGTCCATTAACAAGAAAAAAGAAGGCAAGTTTACATAACTATGGGGAAGAACAGCTAATCTTTCATAAAATTTAGACAGTATAAGAATTTGTCCAATAAACTGCCCATTGATCATAGCACTGGAAACATTAGCTTTGTGTCTGTCTTCCTTCCTGTCTTTTCCTCTGTCCCCCTCCAGCTGCCCTGGGTTACATTTCCTTTTTTGAATTATTTAGATGAAATATTGGCTGGAGGCCCACGTTGGTTAGCAGCTATAGGATTTTCTTTCTTTTCCTTTTCTCTTCTTTTTTAAAAAACCCATCTTACTAAAGTTGGGGCGGGAGGCTTCCCATTTTAAGAACTTAACATACATTGCTGTAAAACTAGTTTTCCCTCAAAATGCTTCCTGCAGCCTTTCAAATAAGTTCCCAAAGGCCTGAGACTCATTGGATTTGAGAGCTAGACTTCAGTGAGGCTCCTTCCTGCATTGCCAAACCTCCCTGGCTGCTCTGAGCTGTCCCCTTCCTCTGGCTCTTCTCAGGTCAGTGGGCCCAGCATTCACATGCACAGTGACCAGTAGCAAGGCCTCTCCAGCCAACCCTGTTTTTGTACAGTCAATAAGAGATTTAAAGTAATTAATTAATTTCACAAGAGAGGAATTAATTAAGGTAAGGAATGAAGGTAATTATCTGGATGAGTTCAGTAAAATTACCTGAGAACTTTAAATCAACGAAGGAATAGAACTTTTCAGATAATT